TCTCCAAATGGGGTTCATAGAGCATTCAAAGAGCCCATACAGCTCCCCCATCGTGATGGTGAAAAAGAAGACAGGCAAGTGGAGACTGTGTGTCGACTTCAGGCAGATCAACGCGAAGTCAGTGAAGGATGCCTACCCAATGCCCCGCACAAACTACATCCTAGATCAACTAAGAGAAGCGCGGTACATCAGCAGTTTGGACCTGAAGGATGGATACTGGCAGATCCCACTAGAAGAAAGTAGCAGGCAATATACAGCATTTACGGTACCAGGCAAAGGTCTGTTTCAGTGGAGGGTAATGCCGTTCGGACTTCACTCGGCGTCGGCAACGTTTCAGCGAGTCTTGGACCAAGTAATTGGCCCCGAGATGTCATTTCACGCATTCGCTTACCAGGATGACATAATAGTGATCGGTCGCACGCTGGAAGAACACAAAAGAAACCTGAAGGAAGTGTTCCGGCGTCTAAAGGAGGCAAATCTGAGGCTGAATCCAGAAAAATGCCAATTCTTCAAAAAGGAGCTGCTGTACTTGGGTCACCGAGTGACTAGCGAGGGAATAGGAACAGATCCAGAAAAAGTAGCCGCCATCGCCGAACTAGAACCGCCATCGACTGTCAAAGAGCTCCGACAATACCTAGGAGTAGCGTCGTGGTACCGCCGGTTTGTACCAGATTTCTCCAGAATCGTCAAACCCCTGAACGACCTGCTGCGCAAAGGCAGTAAGTGGGAGTGGACACCAGAGCACCAGATGGCGTTTGAGGAGGTCAAGGCAAGACTCGTGGCAGATCCAGTGCCAGCATGCCCGGACTTCAGTAGAACTTTCATCCGGCAAACAGACGCCAGCGACTACGGCATCGGAGCGATACTGACCCAGGACACCGAAAAGGGCGAAAGAGTAATCTCCTACTCGAGCCGAACACTGAACGGCGCGGAGAAGAACTACTCGACAACGGAGAAGGAGTGCTTGGCGATCGTCTGGGCGATCCGGAAGCTCAGGCCATATCTGGAAGGTTACCACTTTAAGGTAGTAACCGACCACATGGCCCTGAAGTGGCTCAACAGCATCGAAAGCCCTTCAGGAAGGATCGCCAGATGGGCCCTGGAGCTACAACAGTACGAATTTGAGATAGCGTACAGAAAGGGTCAGCTAAACGTGGTGGCCTACGCATTATCAAGACAACCACTACCGGAAACACTACGAGGTTTAAAGGAGGCATCGGCAACTACAGCTTCAGGAGGGTGCAGCTGGATCAAGGACATGGGCGAAAAGATAAGGACCCAACCGCAGAAGTACCCGGACTATGTTATGGATGGTGAGACACTATACAGAAACATACCTCACCGAGCAGGCAGTGAAGACGTCGCTTCATGGAAGATGTGCGTCCCGAAGTCGCTACGAGAAACAGTGTTGAGGGAAAACCACGACGCACCGTCCGCGGGACACGTAGGAAGCCGAAGGACAATTGCACGGTTGGCAGCCCGATACTACTGGCCAGGCATGCATAGAGACGCCCGAGCCCACGTACGAAAATGCGAGATTTGCATGCGGTTTAAGCCCAATCAGATGCAGGCGGCTGGGAAGATGTTGACCCAAGTGCCGGAGGAACCATGGGCCACGGTATGTGCAGACTTCGTTGGACCCCTACCAAGATCTAAGCACGGGAACCAAATGCTGCTGGTCATGATAGACAGGTTTTCGAAATGGACGGAACTGGTGCCCCTACGCAGTGCGACGGCAGAGTCGCTCAAGAAGGCATTTAGGGAGCGCATAATCGCAAGGTACGGGGTCCCGAAGGTGGTCATAACGGACAATGGAGTACAGTTTGCAAGCCGCATATTTAAAAATTTCCTGGCTGAGATGGGTATCAGTCAACAATTCACCGCGCCATACACACCACAAGAGAATCCAAACGAACGAGCAAACAGAACGGTCAAGACCATGATTGCCCAGTTCGCAGGGCAGGACCAGAGAAACTGGGACGAGAAGTGGCCGGAGATTATGCTAGCAGTGAACACGAGCACATCGGAATCCACCGGCCATACACCGGCGTTTCTTACCCAGGGAAGGGAACCACGTCTACCCAGCAGCCTATACGATAAGGAAACCTAGGAACCGGACGAGCTACGGAGACCCCTGAGGAAATGCCAACAAACTAGAGAGGTATTCGAGATCGTGCGGCGAAATATGGAAAAGGCGTCCCAGGACCAAGCCAGACACTACAATCTGAGAAGGAGACAGTGGTCACCAGCGGTGGGCGATATAGTGTGGGCCAAGGAACATCACCTGTCCAAAGCGGCAGAAGGATTCGCTGCAAAACTAGCCCCGAGGTACGATGGCCCTTACCAGGTGGTAGATTTCGTTTCTCCAGTGATCTGCAAAATTCGCCACACACAGTCGAAGAAAGAAAGGACAGTTCACGTTGGCGAGCTCAAGCAACAACAAAACGAGCAGACAGCAGAAACGTCAGGTACGAGGCGACAGGATTAGGCGTCAGGCCGAAGCGAGAGTCATCAATACGCCACACGGAAAAGACAATCAGCGTAGCACAAGGACATGGATAAGGATTTCACGTTGATCCAGACTGCGAGGCTACAGGATTATGCGTCAGGCCTAAGCGAGAGTCATCCACAAGCCACGCAGAAAGATCAACCATAAGGATAGGTCGCAAGGACATGGATAAGGATTTCACGTTGATCCAGTCTGCAAGGCATCAGGATTCAGCGTCAGGCCTAAGCGAGAGTCATCCACACGCCACGCAGAAAGGACAATTACAAGGATAGGTCACAAGGAAGTGGATAAGGATGGATGGGGATCCAACCGCAAGGCATCAGGATTCAGCGTCAGGCCTAAGCGAGAGTCATCCACACGCCACGCAGAAAGGACAATTACAAGGATAGGTCGCAAGGACATGGATAAGTATTTCACGTTGATCCAGTCTGCAAGGCATCAGGATTCAGCGTCAGGCCTAAGCGAGAGTCATCCACACGCCACGCAGAAAGGACAATTACAAGGATAGGTCACAAGGACGTGGATAAGGATGGATGGGGATCCAACCGCAAGGCATCAGGATTCAGCGTCAGGCCTAAGCGAGAGTCATCCACACGCCACGCAGAAAGGACAATTACAAGGATAGGTCACAAGGACGTGGATAAGGATGGATGGGGATCCAACCGCAAGGCATCAGGATTCAGCGTCAGGCCTAAGCGAGAGTCATCCACACGCCACGCAGAAAGGATAATTACAAGGATAGGTCACAAGGACGTGGATAAGGATGGATGGGGATCCAACCGCAAGGCATCAGGATTCAGCGTCGGGCAGTGGCCAGAGTCATCCGCGTTTACGCCAGGCAGAAGGGACACTTACAAAACATCATAAGGATACGGATAACATGTAGGGATCCAACCGCAAGGCATCAGGATTCAGCGTCGGGCAGTTGCCAGAGCCATCCGGGTTTAGGCCAAGCGGGAAGGAAACGGACAAGGTCGACAAAACAGTAGCGAAAGCACATCACGTACCCAAAGGACCCCGAAGGATACCCTAAGTGTGCCCGAAATATACCCGAAGGACACCCCAACAACACCTCTAAAGGATACCCAAAGGACACCCGAAGGATACCCTAAGTGTGCCCAAACTATACCCGAAGGATACCGTAAGTGTTCCCAAACTATACCCGAAGGACGCCCCAACAATACCTCTAAGTGTACCCAAAGGACACCCAAAGGATACCCTAGGGATAGCCCAACGATCCCCAAGGATACCTAAGGATACCCCAATAGGACTCGAAAGACACCTCAAGGATACCCCAATAATAACCCAAGGACACCAAGGATACCAACCAGGAACGCCCCGAAGCAAGGTGTAGGCCCAAGGACAACTTCCAAGAATACTCACCAAAGAGCGAGCGCCCCAAAGAAAGGACATAACGGTATCGGGCAAAAGGAAGGCGCGCAACCGAGGTTTCATGTATGGGGAGCCTGGCGACGGTCGAGCACTAAAATTCAGAACACCATCATGAGCACACGCGTCACCAGAGCCGAAACACGCAGGAGGATGGCGGCCCTCCAGGAACCTCGCCCGGATGGTCGGAGACCCGGCCTACCCGAGCTCCGCGGCGGGCCCTGGAGCGGACTCGAGACGAGGACTCCGCACCGGAACCCGCGGTGAGCGACGACAGCGACGTGGAGGTGATCGGCGATCCCGCCGTCGAGGAGAGAGAGTGGCGACTCCGGAAGGCGGCGGCGGGCGGTCGGATACCGCGCGGGACGACGGATGTCGGAGGAGAGGAACTCCCGAGGAGCCACTCGGAGGCGGTCTGTCGGGCCACCGAGGAGTCTCAGAAGCGGTTCCGAGACCGGGAGCCGTCGGACGAGGAGCAGCAACGGTCGACGGAGGAGGAGGCGAGAAGGCAGGCGCGGCTGCGGCAGGACCACGAGGCGGCGGCGGCGCGGTGGCATGCCCGCTTGCGAGAGGCGGAGGAAGAAGAGCGCCGGCTGTGGGAGGCACCGGTGGAGGACGCGTGGGAGGTGCCACTCACCCCCAGATACGCGGCCGAGGAACGCAGCCCGAGGGACAAGGACGAGGACGAACCACGCGCGCCATCCCCTCCGCGGTGGTTGCCCGAGGTGCCACCCACTTCCCGCTACGAGGGGGAGTGGCTCACGGAAGGCGCTCGAGACGGCGACGATGGAGCACCGTTGGCCACGCCGCCGTGGAGGCCGGCCCGGCCACCCACGCCGCGATACACGGAGCCACGACGACCGGAGGAGCAGACGCCGAGCGAGGAGTCGACCGCGCAGCCGATGCCGCAACCGCAGGAGGAGGACGTCCACCAGGCAAGGGCGGACGAGCCGTCGGTGGTGCGGACGGAGGTGCCGGCCGCGCACGTGAGCCACAGCACACGGGCGTTCGAGGCCGAGGGCATGCGGTGGCGGCAGCAGACGGTGACATGGACGTGGCCCGAGGGGCCCGCGACAGGACCGACGAAGGAGGTGCCCAGGATATGGGAGGAGGGGGCACCCAAGTTGAACCCTCGGGACCCCCGGACGAGGAGCCGACAGGATGCATGGATCCCGCCGACACCAAGCACGGGCCCGCCAACACCGGCAACGACGGCAACGACGGGGGAGGCGGAGTCGCTGGAGAAAGGACCATGGGTGTGGCCCGAGCCACCGGCCACCCAAAGGCCTCCGCTGCAGCGACAAAATTCGACGCCCGGATCGACGCGCCCGCGGCCGCAGTTCATGCGGCAGGTATCGGCGCCGGAGGAAGGCGGTTGGCGTGAGGTCGCCAGGAGCGAGTGGCCGGTGGGCATTGAGGAAGCACCCGCGGTCGCGACGGCACGGCGGAAGGGCGGCAGGCGGTGCGTCCTGGTCTGCGATGGCGGGGGAGGTACCGTGTGAGGCTCGGAGTCGCGGGCATCCGGGTTTTCGCACAATAAATGAAAAAAAATCACAAAAAACAACACAAGGGTTTTCCAAAACAACAAGAGAAGGGGTACGGGGCTAAGAGTTTGATTGGAGCTGCCAATATGGAGTCCGATGCAGCCGATAGAGGACGAGTGAAGGGCGAGAGAGGACGAAAGGAGAGAGAAGGATAAGATGAGAAGGAGTAGAGGAAATGTAAAAGGAACTTACCCATGAAAAATTGCAAAGTCACCACGAGCCAGGGAAGGGGGCGCCTCGATAGGCGATCGATTGGCACTGGACGATAGTGCGATCGATGGGCACACGACAATGGAAATATCGGCCAAGGTGGAAATATCGCAAACGAGCAGGTGGCAACGCTGCACCGTCGGTATCGATATGCGAATAAATATCGATCACGCACGAATGGTGTGACCAGGCGGAGGAAACATGGAAAGGAGTGAGACGCAGCCATGAGCAGCGAGCTGGGGATCGATAGCCCAGGAGTATCGATGTCCCAGTGGGAACACAGGAAATATCGGCGCGGGAGATTTAAAGTTGCTACGAGGAGGATGACCCCCGCTGTAGAAACTCAAGGGAGTTAAGAGCGTCGAGGGAGCATCGAGGGAGCAACGAGGGAGCGCCGCGGGAATCACAAGGACTCAAAGGTTAGGATAAGCAAGGAAACGCCGGAGAGTAGGAACCAGTCTTAAATGTTTCCCGAAGTAAGGGGGGAATGTGAGGAGTTGAATAACTCCCCACAAATAGAAGCAGCAGCAGATGGCCGGCCGCTTACCAGATACGCGGCGAATTCGCGTAGTAACGGCGCGGCGAGGAGAACGAGAGAGTTTGGAGACCAAGGGTGGAGATCGAGAGAGTTTGGAGACCAGCGAAGGAGAGCGAGAGAGTTTGGAGACCAATGAAGGAGATCGAGAGAGTTTGGAGACCAACAAAGGAGAGCGAGAGAGTTTGGAGACCAATGAAGGAGAGCGAGAGAGATTGGAGACCAAGGATGGAGATCGAGAGAGAATTGAGACTTCGCGGGCAGAGCAAGAGTGCCGTATGCAAAAGGGGATAACGGAACTCCACCGGACTTTGGACTCTCCCGTGAACTTTGGACCGGGAGAGGAAGTGCCACATCTCGGCAGTGGAGCGGCACACAGGCGTGCCACAAGCGGTCAAACCTTCAAGATCAATTAAAGTACCAAATAAACAGTCAGTCAAGCAAATAACTTACGAGGGAGCTACAACCAAGCGAGTCGTCGGAAGCAGCGCCGTGGGAAGCATACAAGGAGCAAGATTGCCACGTCGAGACTTTCGGGATTAGGACATCAGGAATCTCCGAATTGAGACACAGGTGGCTGAGTTCTGAAAGGCATCACGCGGCTAAGTCAAGGCGTTTGTTTTCTAACTTTGTCACGACCACACCCTGGCGAGTCGCCCGGCGGGTCTGTCAGAGACAAGCAAAAGAGTCCTACGACGAAGAGCCGTCAGCTTGGGGAGGAAAGTTGTCTGCGACCCAGCGTACCTTGCCCGACCAAGCAGGACCTGGCGTGACGGACGAGCGGTAGATCGATTTGCGGTTTCAAGAGGCGGCAGCCTGGAGAGCCCTGCGATTACCGGCGAAGTTCCCGAGCAGCGACCGCCCAGCTCCCCGAGCGCCAGAACAACGAGATACTGGTCAGAAGACAGCGCAGAGGACATCGACAGCGACGCCAGCAGACATTTCCGGCAGCCACGTTACCATCGCCGCGCGGAGCTCATTGGGGGCGCAGGAGCGTCGCGGACGTCACGCATTAGGGTGAAGCCGGGTGGAACGTTCGTCTGCGCTAGGCGTAAAGCGAAGTGAACCGCTAGACAGCCTCCGGGCGGCAGCCTTGACTGTCAGCGCGAACTGAGCAAGAACCTAGCGGGACTGTCCGGGACAGAGCAAGGGACAGGTATTGCCTCGAAAGGCGTCAGCCTGGAGAGCAAAGCTTGTTCACCCTAGTCTGAGAACGGTGACGCTTCCCTAAGCCCACAAGGCCGAACTCTCTGCGGGTCTAAGGCGCAACAAGCGACCCCGAGGCAACGCGTCGGCAAGCAGGCAGAGGCGGCCACTACGAGCGTCCCGAGACCCAGGATCCAGAGGAGGACGAGTCAACGCGTCGAGGAGCCAGAAAGAGGAGCGCCAGCAGCCGGCGGAACCAGAGCCAAGAGATACCGAAGCCAGCCCAGCCACACACCCGCTGTACTAATGCCACGAGAATAAATCCCACTGTTACCATTTGAAACCTTTGTTTTCTCACTGATCTATGGGCAATCACGTCATATAAATTTGGTGGGACGAACGCACAATCTTCTGAGCTAGCCGCACGAATCTCGTAGCGAGCAGACATACAAAAATCAGTTCGTTACATCTGGCGCCCAACGTGATTGTCCCAACAGTGAGAACAGCACAGTAAAAATGGGAAAGAAGTGGATTTACCGCCTCAAGAAGGAAGACTTCGCCCATGTCGCACAGAGGCTCAATGTCGCCCTGGAGGGCAGGCTAGACGACATGAGGAAGGCACTATCGGAATACTACTCCGAAACAGAGAATGATCCACAACTCGTCGACATCTGGGCCGAGCTAGAGGCGACATACTACGACAGAGCCGGCCCAAGCATTACGTTAACGAACGCTGAAGGGGACAACCTGGTGGCAAGCCTGAGCGTTGACAACATACAGAAAGAGGCCCACAGGAGAGAATCAAGCCAAGAAAAGAAAGCAGCAGCGCTGATCCCGAGACCAAGCCAGTCGGACTATGCAAAGGTCGCTAAGCAGGTCCGCGAATGGTCGTTCAGGTTCGACGGGGCGGAAAAACCATTCGAGTTCCTGGAGCAGGTAGAATGGTCCGCCAACACGTACGGTTTGGAGCTTGATATGATCCCTCGAGCGATGCCGGAGTTGCTAAAAGGAAGGGCCTTGAAATGGTTCATCGCCAACAATAAGCAATGGAGAACATGGGCAGAATTCATTGAAAGCTTCCACACATATTTCCTGCCAAGAGACTTCTTCACCAGGCTGGCGGACCAGGTCCGGCAAAGGAAGCAAGGCTTCAGCGAGTCGTTCAAGGACTACATGATCGACATGCAGACGATGGTGAGGCCACTTAACTATTCTACGAAAGAGACGTTAAGGGTCATTAAAGAGAACTGCACCCCAAGCCTACGAATGTTCTTAAGAGCATACAAAGTGTCGGACCTGGACACGCTAATGATCCTAGCCGATGAGTACGAAGAACTTGAAAAGGAACGGGAAGTCTTCGCACAGGAGAACAAGTTCTCAAAGACAAAGTCGGCGTCACCAACACAGGTGACATGCAGGAGATGTGAGGAGGAAGATAACCAGGACACACGAGGAAACGACCAATGGTCACCGCCACACCAAGCCAGACGACAGCAGGCAACAGACGCACCAAGCGGAGGCCATTGGGCACCACCCCCACAGCAACAGAGACAGCCAAACAATACCTTGTGGAGGCCGCCAAGCAACACACAGAGGCCACAAGATGCCACCCATATCACAGACCCGCAGGAGGCCTGTCGGAAATGCGGTGGGAAATGGCCAGCGATCTCAGCCGCAGAGAGGCGAGCGGGGATCGCACAATGCCACCTCTCCAAACTAACGGGCGAGCTAATCGAGGAGGAGCAGCAGTTGTCCGCAGCTGTGATGATTGGTGGGAAAAGCTACAAAGCCACAATCGACACCGGAGCAACGGCAAGCTTCGTTAGCGAAGGATTGGCGGACAATATCGCTGCTCTAGGAAAGATTACAAGGACGAGACGGCAAGTTAGGTTGGCAGATGGAAGGTGCGGCGGAATTAATGCGCAGCTCGAGGTGGAGGTCAAATTCGGCAACAAACAAGTGACCATGAGCCTGTTGATTTTACCCGGGGTAGTGGATCCATTAGTGTTGGGATGGAACTTCCTGAAACAAGTCGGAACCGAGATAAGGTGTGCTGGACACGAAATAATAATACCAGCCAGGAACCGACACAATGGATGGCTCGAGGAGAAGCTATCAGTAGCAGTCGTTCAACAAGTAAACGAGTTGGACGATACTACAGCGTTCCTTGAAACAGAGCTGGCAGACTTCAGCACAATGTCGGGAACATCGAATATGGCAGAACACCAGATAAAACTGAAGGACGACAAGCCAATCAAGCAGAGATACTACCCAAAGAACCCAAAAATTCAAGGGAAAATCAACGCAGAGGTGGACGAGCTTCTCCAAATGGGGTTCATAGAGCATTCAAAGAGCCCATACAGCTCCCCCATCGTGATGGTGAAAAAGAAGACAGGCAAGTGGAGACTGTGTGTCGACTTCAGGCAGATCAACGCGAAGTCAGTGAAGGATGCCTACCCAATGCCCCGCACAAACTACATCCTAGATCAACTAAGAGAAGCGCGGTACATCAGCAGTTTGGACCTGAAGGATGGATACTGGCAGATCCCACTAGAAGAAAGTAGCAGGCAATATACAGCATTTACGGTACCAGGCAAAGGTCTGTTTCAGTGGAGGGTAATCCCGTTCGGACTTCACTCGGCGTCGGCAACGTTTCAGCGAGTCTTGGACCAAGTAATTGGCCCCGAGATGTCACCTCACGCATTCGCTTACCAGGATGACATAATAGTGATCGGTCGCACGCTGGAAGAACACAAAAGAAACCTGAAGGAAGTGTTCCGGCGTCTAAAGGAGGCAAATCTGAGGCTGAATCCAGAAAAATGCCAATTCTTCAAAAAGGAGCTGCTGTACTTGGGTCACCGAGTGACTAGCGAGGGAATAGGAACAGATCCAGAAAAAGTAGCCGCCATCGCCGAACTAGAACCGCCATCGACTGTCAAAGAGCTCCGACAATACCTAGGAGTAGCGTCGTGGTACCGCCGGTTTGTACCAGATTTCTCCAGAATCGTCAAACCCCTGAACGACCTGCTGCGCAAAGGCAGTAAGTGGGAGTGGACACCAGAGCACCAGATGGCGTTTGAGGAGGTCAAGGCAAGACTCGTGGCAGATCCAGTGCCAGCATGCCCGGACTTCAGTAGAACTTTCATCCGGCAAACAGACGCCAGCGACTACGGCATCGGAGCGATACTGACCCAGGACACCGAAAAGGGCGAAAGAGTAATCTCCTACTCGAGCCGAACACTGAACGGCGCGGAGAAGAACTACTCGACAACGGAGAAGGAGTGCTTGGCGATCGTCTGGGCGATCCGGAAGCTCAGGCCATATCTGGAAGGTTACCACTTTAAGGTAGTAACCGACCACATGGCCCTGAAGTGGCTCAACAGCATCGAAAGCCCTTCAGGAAGGATCGCCAGATGGGCCCTGGAGCTACAACAGTACGAATTTGAGATAGCGTACAGAAAGGGTCAGCTAAACGTGGTGGCCTACGCATTATCAAGACAACCACTACCGGAAACACTACGAGGTTTAAAGGAGGCATCGGCAACTACAGCTTCAGGAGGGTGCAGCTGGATCAAGGACATGGGCGAAAAGATAAGGACCCAACCGCAGAAGTACCCGGACTATGTTATGGATGGTGAGACACTATACAGAAACATACCTCACCGAGCAGGCAGTGAAGACGTCGCTTCATGGAAGATGTGCGTCCCGAAGTCGCTACGAGAAACAGTGTTGAGGGAAAACCACGACGCACCGTCCGCGGGACACGTAGGAAGCCGAAGGACAATTGCACGGTTGGCAGCCCGATACTACTGGCCAGGCATGCATAGAGACGCCCGAGCCCACGTACGAAAATGCGAGATTTGCATGCGGTTTAAGCCCAATCAGATGCAGGCGGCTGGGAAGATGTTGACCCAAGTGCCGGAGGAACCATGGGCCACGGTATGTGCAGACTTCGTTGGACCCCTACCAAGATCTAAGCACGGGAACCAAATGCTGCTGGTCATGATAGACAGGTTTTCGAAATGGACGGAACTGGTGCCCCTACGCAGTGCGACGGCAGAGTCGCTCAAGAAGGCATTTAGGGAGCGCATAATCGCAAGGTACGGGGTCCCGAAGGTGGTCATAACGGACAATGGAGTACAGTTTGCAAGCCGCATATTTAAAAATTTCCTGGCTGAGATGGGTATCAGTCAACAATTCACCGCGCCATACACACCACAAGAGAATCCAACCGAACGAGCAAACAGAACGGTCAAGACCATGATTGCCCAGTTCGCAGGGCAGGACCAGAGAAACTGGGACGAGAAGTGGCCGGAGATTATGCTAGCAGTGAACACGAGCACATCGGAATCCACCGGTCATACACCGGCGTTTCTTACCCAGGGCAGGGAACCACGTCTACCTAGCAGCCTATATGATAAGGAAACCTTAGGCACTGGACGAGCTACGGAGACCCCTGAGGAGAATGCCAACAAACTGAGAGAGGTATTCGAGATCGTGCGGCGAAATATGGAAAAGGCGTCCCAGGACCAAGCCAGACACTACAATCTGAGAAGGAGACAGTGGTCACCAGCGGTGGGCGATATAGTGTGGGCCAAGGAACATCACCTGTCCAAAGCGGCAGAAGGATTCGCTGCAAAACTAGCCCCGAGGTACGATGGCCCTTACCAGGTGGTAGATTTCGTTTCTCCAGTGATCTGCAAAATTCGCCACACACAGTCGAAGAAAGAAAGGACAGTTCACGTTGGCGAGCTCAAGCAACAACAAAACGAGCAGACAGCAGAAACGTCAGGTACGAGGCGACAGGATTAGGCGTCAGGCCGAAGCGAGAGTCATCAATACGCCACACGGAAAAGACAATCAGCGTAGCACAAGGACATGGATAAGGATTTCACGTTGATCCAGACTGCGAGGCTACAGGATTATGCGTCAGGCCTAAGCGAGAGTCATCCACAAGCCACGCAGAAAGATCAACCATAAGGATAGGTCGCAAGGACATGGATAAGGATTTCACGTTGATCCAGTCTGCAAGGCATCAGGATTCAGCGTCAGGCCTAAGCGAGAGTCATCCACACGCCACGCAGAAAGGACAATTACAAGGATAGGTCACAAGGAAGTGGATAAGGATGGATGGGGATCCAACCGCAAGGCATCAGGATTCAGCGTCAGGCCTAAGCGAGAGTCATCCACACGCCACGCAGAAAGGACAATTACAAGGATAGGTCGCAAGGACATGGATAAGTATTTCACGTTGATCCAGTCTGCAAGGCATCAGGATTCAGCGTCAGGCCTAAGCGAGAGTCATCCACACGCCACGCAGAAAGGACAATTACAAGGATAGGTCACAAGGACGTGGATAAGGATGGATGGGGATCCAACCGCAAGGCATCAGGATTCAGCGTCAGGCCTAAGCGAGAGTCATCCACACGCCACGCAGAAAGGACAATTACAAGGATAGGTCACAAGGACGTGGATAAGGATGGATGGGGATCCAACCGCAAGGCATCAGGATTCAGCGTCAGGCCTAAGCGAGAGTCATCCACACGCCACGCAGAAAGGATAATTACAAGGATAGGTCACAAGGACGTGGATAAGGATGGATGGGGATCCAACCGCAAGGCATCAGGATTCAGCGTCGGGCAGTGGCCAGAGTCATCCGCGTTTACGCCAGGCAGAAGGGACACTTACAAAACATCATAAGGATACGGATAACATGTAGGGATCCAACCGCAAGGCATCAGGATTCAGCGTCGGGCAGTTGCCAGAGCCATCCGGGTTTAGGCCAAGCGGGAAGGAAACGGACAAGGTCGACAAAACAGTAGCGAAAGCACATCACGTACCCAAAGGACCCCGAAGGATACCCTAAGTGTGCCCGAAATATACCCGAAGGACACCCCAACAACACCTCTAAAGGATACCCAAAGGACACCCGAAGGATACCCTAAGTGTGCCCAAACTATACCCGAAGGATACCGTAAGTGTTCCCAAACTATACCCGAAGGACGCCCCAACAATACCTCTAAGTGTACCCAAAGGACACCCAAAGGATACCCTAGGGATAGCCCAACGATCCCCAAGGATACCTAAGGATACCCCAATAGGACTCGAAAGACACCTCAAGGATACCCCAATAATAACCCAAGGACACCAAGGATACCAACCAGGAACGCCCCGAAGCAAGGTGTAGGCCCAAGGACAACTTCCAAGAATACTCACCAAAGAGCGAGCGCCCCAAAGAAAGGACATAACGGTATCGGGCAAAAGGAAGGCGCGCAACCGAGGTTTCATGTATGGGGAGCCTGGCGACGGTCGAGCACTAAAATTCAGAACACCATCATGAGCACACGCGTCACCAGAGCCGAAACACGCAGGAGGATGGCGGCCCTCCAGGAACCTCGCCCGGATGGTCGGAGACCCGGCCTACCCGAGCTCCGCGGCGGGCCCTGGAGCGGACTCGAGACGAGGACTCCGCACCAGAACCCGCGGTGAGCGACGACAGCGACGTGGAGGTGATCGGCGATCCCGCCGTCGAGGAGAGAGAGTGGCGACTCCGGAAGGCGGCGGCGGGCGGTCGGATACCGCGCGGGACGACGGATGTCGGAGGAGAGGAACTCCCGAGGAGCCACTCGGAGGCGGTCTGTCGGGCCACCGAGGAGTCTCAGAAGCGGTTCCGAGACCGGGAGCCGTCGGACGAGGAGCAGCAACGGTCGACGGAGGAGGAGGCGAGAAGGCAGGCGCGGCTGCGGCAGGACCACGAGGCGGCGGCGGCGCGGTGGCATGCCCGCTTGCGAGAGGCGGAGGAAGAAGAGCGCCGGCTGTGGGAGGCACCGGTGGAGGACGCGTGGGAGGTGCCACTCACCCCCAGATACGCGGCCGAGGAACGCAGCCCGAGGGACGAGGACGAGGACGAACCACGCGCGCCATCCCCTCCGCGGTGGTTGCCCGAGGTGCCACCCACTCCCCGCTACGAGGGGGAGTGGCTCACGGAAGGCGCTCGAGACGGCGACGATGGAGCACCGTTGGCCACGCCGCCGTGGAGGCCGGCCCGGCCACCCACGCCGCGATACACGGAGCCACGACGACCGGAGGAGCAGACGCCGAGCGAGGAGTCGACCGCGCAGCCGATGCCGCAACCGCAGGAGGAGGACGTCCACCAGGCAAGGGCGGACGAGCCGTCGGTGGTGCGGACGGAGGTGCCGGCCGCGCACGTGAGCCACAGCACACGGGCGTTCGAGGCCGAGGGCATGCGGTGGCGGCAGCAGACGGTGACATGGACGTGGCCCGAGGGGCCCGCGACAGGACCGACGAAGGAGGTGCCCAGGATATGGGAGGAGGGGGCACCCAAGTTGAACCCTCGGGACCCCCGGACGAGGAGCCGACAGGATGCATGGATCCCGCCGACACCAAGCACGGGCCCGCCAACACCGGCAACGACGGCAACGACGGGGGAGGCGGAGTCGCTGGAGAAAGGACCATGGGTGTGGCCCGAGCCACCGGCCACCCAAAGGCCTCCGCTGCAGCGACAAAATTCGACGCCCGGATCGACGCGCCCGCGGCCGCAGTTCATGCGGCAGGTATCGGCGCCGGAGGAAGGCGGTTGGCGTGAGGTCGCCAGGAGCGAGTGGCCGGTGGGCATTGAGGAAGCACCCGCGGTCGCGACGGCACGGCGGAAGGGCGGCAGGCGGTGCGTCCTGGTCTGCGATGGCGGGAGGAGGTACCGTGTGAGGCTCGGAGTCGCGGGCATCCGGGTTTTCGCACAATAAATGAAAAAAAATCACAAAAAACAACACAAGGGTTTTCCAAAACAACAAGAGAAGGGGTACGGGGCTAAGAGTTTGATTGGGGTGGCTGGAAGAAGAACGGGGCATGCATGGGCCACTCCAGCAACCTGTAAGTCAAATGGTCTTAATCCAGGAAGAAGAAATTAACGTCAATTACTTACCTGCTGTCCCGGTTGCAAAGTGAATGCGAAGTCCTCTCCGCACCCGCTCTCGAGAGCTGCCAATATGGAGTCCGATGCAGCCGATAGAGGACGAGTGAAGGGCGAGAGAGGACGAAAGGAGAGAGAAGGATAAGATGAGAAGGAGTAGAGGAAATGTAAAAGGAACTTACCCATGAAAAATTGCAAAGTCACCACGAGCCAGGGAAGGGGGCGCCTCGATAGGCGATCGATTGGCACTGGACGATAGTGCGATCGATGGGCACACGACAATGGAAATATCGGCCAAGGTGGAAATATCGCAAACGAGCAGGTGGCAACGCTGCACCGTCGGTATCGATATGCGAATAAATATCGATCACGCACGAATGGTGTGACCAGGCGGAGGAAACATGGAAAGGAGTGAGACGCAGCCATGAGCAGCGAGCTGGGGATCGATAGCCCAGGAGTATCGATGTCCCAGTGGGAACACAGGAAATATCGGCGCGGGAGATTTAAAGTTGCTACGAGGAGGATGACCCCCGCTGTAGAAACTCAAGGGAGTTAAGAGCGTCGAGGGAGCATCGAGGGAGCAACGAGGGAGCGCCGCGGGAATCACAAGGACTCAAAGGTTAGGATAAGCAAGGAAACGCCGGAGAGTAGGAACCAGTCTTAAATGTTTCCCGAAGTAAGGGGGGAATGTGAGGAGTTGAATAACTCCCCACAAATAGAAGCAGCAGCAGATGGCCGGCCGCTTACCAGATACGCGGCGAATTCGCGTAGTAACGGCGCGGCGAGGAGAACGAGAGAGTTTGGAGACCAAGGGTGGAGATCGAGAGAGTTTGGAGACCAGCGAAGGAGAGCGAGAGAGTTTGGAGACCAATGAATCGAGAGAGAATGGAGACTTCGCGGGCAGAGCAAGAGTGCCGTATGCAAAAGGGGATAACGGAACTCCACCGGACTTTGGACTCTCCCGTGAACTTTGGACCGGGAGAGGAAGTGCCACATCTCGGCAGTGGAGCGGCACACAGGCGTGCCACAAGCGGCACGGGAATTAGCGGAACGGCAGCAGTGGGCGGAACATCTATTGGAAGCGGTACATAAAGGACAAGTGGGTCATCCAGGAGGCACGAACTTTGGACCCAGAGTGGAGAGATCCAGCGGGCCGTGCGCAAAAGGGAAATAACGGTGCTTGGAGGCCCTATATAAGGCCGCAGAGCGCCTGCAGCTGGATCAGTCGATCACGAGGAGTCAAACCTTCAAGATCAATTAAAGTACCAAATAAACAGTCAGTCAAGCAAATAATCTACGAGGGAGCTACAACCAAGCGAGTCGTCGGAAGCAGCGCCGTGGGAAGCATACAAGGAGCAAGATCGCCACGTCGAGACGTTCGGGATTAGGACATCAGGAATCTCCGAATTGAGACACAGGTGGCTGAGTTCTGAAAGGCATTACGCGGCTAAGTCAAGGCGTTTGTTTTCTAACTTTGTCACGACCACACCCTGGCGAGTCGCCCGGCGGGTCTGTCAGAGACAAGCTAAAGAGTCCTACGACGAAGAGCCGTCAGCTTGGGGAGGAAAGTTGTCTGCGACCCAGCGTACCTTGCCCGATCAAGCAGGACCTGGCGTGACGGACGAGCGGTAGATCGATTTGCGGTTTCAAGATGCGGCAGCCTGGAGAGCCCTGCGATTACCGGCGAAGTTCCCGAGCAGCGACCGCCCGGCTCTCCGAGCGCCAGAACAACGAGATACTGGTCAGAAGACAGCGCAGAGGACATCGACAGCGACGCCAGCAGACATTTCCGGCAGCCACGTTACCATCGCCGCGCGGAGCTCATTGGGGAGCGTCGCGAACGTCACGCATTAGGGTGAAGCCGGGTGGAACGTTCGTCTGCGCTAGGCGTAAAGCGAAGTGAACCGCTAGACAGCCTCCGGGCGGCAGCCTTGACTGTCAGCGCGAACTGAGCAAGAACCTAGCGGGACCGTCCGGGACAGAGCAAGGGACAGGTATTGCCTCGAAAGGCGTCAGCCTAGAGAGCAAGGCTTGTTCACCCTAGTCTGAGAACGGTGACGCTTCCCTAAGCCCACAAGGCCGAACTCTCTGCGGGTCTAAGGCGCAACAAGCGACCCCGAGGCAACGCGTCGGCAAGCAAGCAGAGGCGGCCACTACGAGCGTCCCGAGACCCAGGATCCAGAGGAGGACGAGTCAACGCGTCGAGGAGCCAGAAAGAGGAGCGCCAGCAGCCGGCGGAACCAGAGCCAAGAGATACCGAAGCCAGCCCAGCCACACGCCCGCTGTACTAATACCACGAGAATAAATCCCACTGTTACCATTTGAACACTTTGTTTTCTCACTGATCTACGGGCAATCACGTCATATAAATTTGGTGGGACGAACGCACAATCTTCTGAGCTAGCCGCACGAATCTCGTAGCGAGCAGACACACAAAATCAGTTCGTTACACTATTATATCAATTTCCGGCTGCAATGCCATGGGTTTTGCAATATATGAATTTAATATTTCCAGTCGACATTGAATTTGAAGCGGATTAAACGAAATTGTATTCTCCTCGAAAGCTTTCCTCATTCTTGTAATATCTTCACCAACCCTATCTACCTGCGAAAATAATTTCGTTAATTGCACCGAGGAGCAGCTATCTTCCATCTCCCCTTTTGTCTCCTATGCGCTATCATTCTTTTTGGTTTTTGTAGGTGCCATTCGATCGATAGGTATTGACAAGACTAATACATTTCAGTTAAAATTTTCTATCTAGTATCAAAACTGTAGGAGTTACATTTTAGGGCGGTTTGTGGGCGTTAGAGTGGGCGTGGCAGTCTACTGAAACAAACTTGCGCTGCGTAAGAAGCTCAGGAATCTGTACGCCAAATCTCAATAGCCTAGCTCTCATAGTTTCCGAGATCTCAGCGTTCATCCGGACGGACAGACAGACGGACAGACGGACATGGCTAGATCGACTCGGCTAGTGATCCTGATCAAGAACATATATACTTTATGGGGTCGGAAACGCTTCCTTCTGCCTGTTACATACTTTCCGACGAATCTAGTATACCCTTTTACTCTACGAGTAACGGGTATAAAAAGCTATAACAAAATCAAAACGAAAAGGCAGACACTGCGAGAACTAACTGTTATTTTCCACCGGCACTGACGCTGTTACGCTTGTAAATCTCTTTCGCGAGGGCGGCACCAAAACTATGTGGTTGTTCACTTACATTTATTTATTGATTTTTTTGTTTTTTATAATTTTGTAGTGGTTATCTCACAATTTTTTGTGGCGGTTTTTATTTGTGGTTATTGGGAATATATAGGCACGAAAATTGTTTTGCTTCCAATTACTATAATTATTTTGACTTTAACTTAGCAAATGTATGTATCATTGAATTCCGAATTCCTGTGATCATTGTTTGGTACATCACTTACTTACAAAGCTGCCAACACAGAACTGGAAGCATTCCCTGGACAACAACGTGGAAATACCCACCTTCACAAAGCTGGACGTGTTTCTTCACAATCGATTGGTCAGCATCGACCTAACTGAGAGTAGAAAACCAGCCGTTCCATTTAGATCCTGATCTATACAATCGACCAACAACCGACAGACAACCAGACCATCAGGAAACTCCACTGTTAGGGGACACAGCTCTACAGCACTCTTGAGTCTGGATCCATCAGATGCTTGCTCTGCCAAGAATCACGTTCTAAGATGGCCGCTCGAAGGCATGCATCAATTGCCTAAGTTCTAACCATTCTCTTAGTCAATGCAGCAGCAACCGAAACTGCTCGCAATGTTGTCAACGGCACAACACTTTGCTCCATTTTCCGAATGCTCAACAAAGTTCCTCACTAACTCCTTGAGTATCACGACAGCATGCTTCAGACTCTGTTCGGAGCGCAGACGCTGCACAAAATGCACCATCGACGCAACTCTTAGGCGCAGTTGCCTCCCATCTGAACTTAACTTGGATCGTAAATAACTCCACCAGGCAGTCAGCTTTAGTTTGAGCTCTCATCGATCATGGCTCGAAAGGCACCCTCATCACGGAAAACATCGTTCAAGATCACGGGAATTGGTAATACGTCCCAGAATCAGTGCAGGCACAGCACCGACTTTACCATAGGTCTCATGTTCAGGGTTTTCAATTAAATGGCTACGTTTCCACAGCCTTCATCCTTCGGTCGCTAACAGGTCATTCACCTAAACAAAATGTAAACATTAATTCCTGTAAACATATCCAGGGGTTATCCCTGGCAGATCCAAATTTCATAATTAGGGTTACATTGACCTACTTATCGGTGTCGACATTATCGGACGGTTGAAAAACCAAATGCACAAAATACACGGCTGGGCTGGATGGTTTTTGGACCAGTTGAAGCAGCCTAGACTCCTTTAATCTTCATTCGTTGTAACTTGGCAAGCCTAAACAACATGGTACAGAGGTTTTTCGAATTGGATCAGGCTTCCTGGGAAATATCTAGTTCGTTTACCTTTAAAGACGTTGTTAGACCCCACACAGGTGCTCGTCCGGTCAAGGCCAATCACATTAAACTTGATCATCGGCCAGATTTTAGTCAACAGTATGCCAGCACTATTCAAAAGTACTTTGATCTAAAGCAGATATAAGAGGGAGAAAGCAGTGAAGAGGAACACCCTAGGATCAACGCTCAAAGGCAACTCTCAATGTCCGCGTGCACCGTTCCGCATCATGCTGTGATCAAAGACGACAGTCTAACTACAAAGATACGCGTCGTACACGACGCTTCGTGCAAAACGTCTAACGGGAGGTCTTTGAATGATATTTTATGCACGGGTCCCGCCCTACAAA